TTTCATGACTTTAGGTCAAATACTTTTTGAGTTAGGTGAGACACGAGTTGAAAATTGTAAATTTTTCCTAAGTCAAGTGCAATAACTCTAACAAATCTGAACAAGAGTGCCATGATGGCCCTGAAATCGCTCACCTGTATATAGGCCCCTTGGGGAGGGGCCAATTTTGACCAAGGGGCTTTTATTTGAACAAACTTAGTAGACACCCATTTGAAGATGTTTCATGATAAATATCTAAGCTCTAGCTCGAAGAAGATTTTTTTAAAGTTTTTCTATACACATAAAGGAAAAACAATGACCCCCCCCCCCTTCTGGGCTGGGCCAATTTTGTCCCCAGGGCTTTTATTTGAATGAAAATGGTAAACAATCACTAGAAGATATTTCATGCTTAGTATCCAAACTCTAGCTCTTTGGGTTTTTCAAAAGAAGATTTTTTAAGTTTTTACTATACACATATAAGGAAAATCAATGACCCCCGGGGCGGGGCCAATTTTGATCACAGGGGCCTTATTTGAACAAAAATGGTAGACACCCATTAGAAGATGTTTCATGCTAAATATCTTAGCTCTAGCTCTTTGGGTTTTATAAAAGAAGATTTTTTTTTACTTGATATACATAAAGGGAAAACAATGACCCCCTGGGGCGGGACCAATTTTACCCCAGGGCTTTTATTTGAACAAACTTGGTAGACACTCACTAGAACATGTTTCATACTTAATATCTAAGCTCTAGCTATTTGGGATTTTTAAAAGAAGATTTTTTAAGTTTATACTATATACAAACAAGCAATTATCATAGTATTGCAAGCAATCCATAAGTCCCCTACCGGTTAGAACCCCAGCAACATTCTGATTTCAATTTTACCAGTGAATAAATGACACGAATGAATTTCAATCTTTTGAGTTCTAAGTTTGTCTATTTCACAGTAATGTGTTAAGTTTCCCTGCCTAGTAAGGAAATTATGTTTATACCAGACCTGGGGATGATTACATTGATCAGTAATTGATTTAATTACAATTACTTTCAGATTTTATTGTAATTGATTACAATTGATAACTCAGACTTGCCTCTGTAATCAATTGAATTACAATTACTTTAAGAAAGTAATTGATTGATAATTGATTACATTCAATGTATATCTTATTGCTATTTAATATATACATTATATATATTATATACATTATATATACAAAGGATTTCCAGCTCATCAACAGTCATCAATTTAACACACTTTTAGTTACTGTCACATCACTTTATCATATTTTAGCATTGCACTTTAGCATCATAAGTTCATGAAACCATCTGTCAGTCAGACTGCATCTATCAGGACGGAAGATTTGCAAAGTTCACGAAACTTGGTTATCAATAGTTGACAATGGAAGCAAGCCACCAGCAACAAACTTTACAAAGACATTTGTGGTGTGCTGTTATTTTGGATGAGAAGGTGCACACTTTGCAACAACTGGTGTTGTTGGGCAATCGGAAACAGAGGGTGGTGGTTTTACATTGGTTTTCTGGTCCTCAGTCTTCTTGGTGTAGGTTCCATAATGAACTCTCCGCAACAGAAATTTTGAAAAGTGTCAATTGTACAGTATGCTGTATACAGGTGTTAAAACAGGTGTGAAAACAATAAATTTTTGTATGGGAATTCAAAGAGACAATAGGCTTTACAAAGAAATAATCAATTTTTTACAAACACTTCAATGGTACAACAGTATCCATTATAATATAGACACATTGTCTATAACCTTACAAAATAACTGTTGCATATAATTAAAATATGGTAATATGCATCTGACATAAACTCTAGAATATACAGAGTAAAGAAGTTATCTACATTGTTTGAAACTTTTTAAAACATGGTTTAACCAAAATATGTGAAACAAAATTTAATATACCTTTATGTGGGTAATGAAATTGGAACATGACTTTGTGTGCCCATTAATCTTTTTAGGGCACAATTTGCACTGTGCTGTGACATTTCCAGAGATCTATTTCCGAAAATTCAAAGACATGAAAAATCCAATGTTTTGACATTTTGGTTAGAAGACCAGCCAAAACATGATGTCTATCTTTCACTTAGAATTTGGTTAAAGTGGCAGTGCATGGATTAAAACTTATTTCTTTATTGTAAGTGATGTCTTAAAACATCTCACTTGATATTTTACTACCTTTATGAACAATCATTGTTTATTATGACAATGTCTATTATTTACTTCAAATAGGATTATCAATTGAGAACATTCTTTCTATTCAATAAAAATGTGGCTTAGTTGTGTATCAAAATCAATCAATTTACACTCTACAATTTGTGATTAAAGATCATTATAAAGGAGTATTAGTTTAATTGTAACATGTGAAATAAATCATTTGAATTTTAATAGTTTCATGAAAAATCTGAAAGTAATCAATATCAATCAAATTGTAATCATAATTACAGACTGAATTTAAGCTGTAATTGATTAATTACAATTAATGTAATCAATTTTGAGCAAGGTAATCAATTACATGATGATTACAGTGTAATCATGTAATCAATTAAAAAATCGATGATTACGATTAATGATTACCCCAGGTCTGGTTTATACAACCTTGTCAAATTATTACGCTGTGGGATTTTAAAGTAAATCCTATAAGGAATGAAGAAGTTGGAGTACAAAATACCAATTTCTCGAAAAAAATCAAGAAATGAAAATTGTTCAAGGGGGACATAATTCTGGAAATAGTCTTGCTAAAGTATCTAACCTTCTCAAAAATGTTGAGTGATAATAAGAAACATATATATGAAGTTTGAAGTAGATACATTAGGAAATAAAGAAGTTATTTAAAAAAGACATTTTTTTTTCATAAAAATTCTAAGTTCAAGGGAGGTAATACTGATAATTTTTGTGCTAGAGTTGTAAACCTTGTCACATATGATGTGGTTGATGACCAGAAACTTATATTTAAAGTTTGAAGTAAACACCTTAAGAAATAAAGAACTTATGAAAAAGCTAAAAAATTTAAATCAGAGGCTATTTGTTGCCATAGCAACCAGAATTTTTTACATAGGAAGAAAAGAAAAAGATGTGCATAATCTGCAGGCTGCCATCTATCCATATTTCAAGTTTCATAAAAATATTTTCAGTACTTTTTGAGTTATCACTGGATCCAGTTTATGTGTTAAATTTGCCATATTTTCAGACTATTTGTTGCCATAGCAACCAGAATTTTCAACATAGGAAGAAAAGAAAAAGACGTGCATAATCTCCATACTGCCATCTATCCATATGTCAAGTTTCATAAAAATATTTTCAGTACTTTTTGCGTTATCGCGGGATCCAGTTTTGTGGACGGACGGACAGACTGACGGACTGACAGACAGACAGACGGACAGACAGACAGACAGAAGGACGGAGGGTAAACCTAAAGTCCCCTCCGGTTAAACCGGTAGGGGACTAATAAAGGAAATTCTTACTGAATATGTCTAATTTGAATAAGAGATTGCATAAAATAAGTTTGGGTAGCTGCATTCCATATTACTGGTCAAGTCAATTTGGTCCTTTGTTATTCATACTGTGTTCTCCAATAGTGTGTAGAGTTTAAAATCTAACTTATCTTTCTGTGTGTACACAAAATATCAAATTGGAACCACAGGCACTAGTCACATAATCAAATATTTTTCATAATTGGTCTATATATGTATATTAAGATATGAGGCCCCCAAAGGAACAAAAACATCATGCTGAACAAACAAGAACACTGCTGCAAGAAGCGACCAGATCACAGTTATCTCTTTGTGGTCGCCATTTGAAAGCATCAATCCAAATGCTAAAGCTTTTTATTTCATTAAAATCCCTCAAATAGCAAAGAAATTGGGAAAAGTTTCGCAAAATGCAATTATTTTCAATTCATGTCGTTTTTGACGTCCATACAATTCATGTTCATAAGACAAGATTTTTACGAAATAAACAAAAAAAGGCTAGAATTTCCATGTATGTTCCATAAACAAACTCTTCTCCTATCGATCTGCGAGGTCTTAACTGATCAAAAGCCCTGTACATACATAATTCTTTAAAAAATACACAAGGATCTCGCTTGTGACAGTATTTTATCGCCATGTATAGCGCATGTATATACTGTTCCACTCTGAATATTACACAAGGATTTGATTAGTTAAGATAATAATCGGAATATTATTGACCAATCGTATAATACTATTTTTTTGCTTTATTCACATGTCACTTCAAAATCAAAATGGCGAACTTTACATGCTCTACGCTTCCACAACCAACACTTTTAAAATATTTATGTACATAGTGGGCTCTAGTTCAATTTAGACTTCAGATTGATAGAAATGATCTGAATTTTTAGACGTTTTCTGTTTATTTCGTAAAAATTGACCAGAAATCAAGTTTATATACATAAATAGATTGGACGTTGAAAACGACATGGATTGAAAATATTGGCATTTTGTGAAACTTTTACTCATTTCTTTTCTACTTGAAGAATTTTAATGAATTAAAAAGCGTTAACGCTTGGATTGATCCTTTCGAATGTCCACCACAAAGAGATAACCGTGATCTGGTTGTTTCTTGCAGCATTGTTCTTGTTTGTTCATCATGATGTTTTTGTTCTGTTGGAGACTTGTATTTTATTATAGTATATAGCCCATATAAAACTTTAAAAAGTTTGTTTCAAGCACCTGTGATTGGAACATAATATATCTTTAAGGGAGACTGAAAAACTGCAATTTCTTTTGAATACATTATGGATATTTTTAACATTCTGACTAAACTACAAACTTTTACAATTTATGAAAGCAAAGTCCATTTCAGAACAGAAATATCAAAATTTAACAACACAAAATCTGCTTCTAACCAAAATCTAACCAAATGAAGGATAAAGAAGGTGGCAAAAGAAAAACATAAGAGTACAGGGGAAAGACTGTTTAACCAAACCTATGGCCACATATCTCAAGCAAGCTCTGTAAGCATGCTTAAATTTCAGATATAGATTACTTTCAACTGTTGCTGTAATATTTCTTCTACCTCTTCAGAAGGTGGAGACTGTAAGGGTGGTGTTCCTTTAGATTTTTTTCCACCCCCTAAAGGAGGAGAGGCTACAGGAACTCCTGTCTTTGTGGGCACAGCAGATGGTGGTGCCATCTCTGCTTTCTTTCTTTTTTCTTCCTTTAGAGCTGCATCCTATAACATGAATTTACAAAACAATTAGTAAAAGCAAACCATTTTGAAATACCTAAATTTTAATAAAGACAAATTCCATTGCTTTTGTACTTGTCATTTTTGTCTAATACAAATTATCTAAAACAATAAAACATGGAAAAAAAGTGAAATTGAATTACCTTGGTAGAAGTCCATAAAACAATGTTTCATGCCAAATATATCTAATTACATATCTTCATGGCCTACGAGAAGAATATTTTTTTTAAAGATTTTACTTTATACATATTATGATAATCTATGAACCCTAGGGCAGAGCCAATTTAGTTCACAAGGCTTTAATTTGAAGAACTTGGTATAGGTCTTCTAGACAATATTACATGCTAAGTATCTAATACCTAGAGCCCTTGAAATTTTCAAGTAGAAGATTTCTAAAGTATCAATTATATAAGGAAAGTCATGACCTCATATGATTGGGCCAATTTTGACCCCAGGGCTTTAATTTGAACATCATTTATACAGTTTTATATTAAGATAATGCAACACGCAAAATACATAAGCTATAGGCCTTGCACTTTTAGAGAAATTTTAAAAGATTTCATTTTTAAGTCTTTTTTAGCCCATTGGAGCTAGATGTTCACTGGAGCAGAACCATTTAAAGCTTTTAGAAGACCTCATACTAGAAACATTCCTGGAAAATTTCATCAAATCTGACTCAGTGGTTTCAGAGGACAGTCAGTTGATGACAGACACACTGATACACAGTGGACACCACACAATAGTGACCACAAAAGCACACTGTGCTTAGGTAATCTAAATATATATTATTTCAGCAAAAGTAGAAATGCTTTTTTACCAAGGACTCACATTTTCAAGGAACGAATTATTTAAAAATCCATTCATATATTACAAAGTTATTATGCCTCCTTATACTGGGCTAAAAAATATACACACTTACCTTTTTAAAGTACCCTCCATGTAATCTCATATGACCATTGAGCGCAGGAACATTCTTAAACCTACGTTGACATATAGTGCATACCACTGGCTTTGCTTGCTCTTCGCTAGTAAACAAAAGAAAATGTTTCATAAGAAAAGCCTCCTGGAAAGCACAATCTTCAGGTTATTGCTGCACAAAATAATTATATCATTTGTTAAGTCCATCTGTCTGATTCAATGAACATGGTTATTGCTATCCTCTCTTTCTCTTTTTTCTAAAGGCAAACACATGAGTGGAAGAACATTGTTATATTATGACGATTATACAGAATTAATTAAAATTCCATATTTGACCTGGACTTTCATTTATATGTAAAGGTCATACTTGAATCATTTAATATGTCTGTTTTGTCAAAAGTGTTGATTTGTTCAAGCAAAAACAAATCAATCCATTTATTACAAATTTTCAGCCTATTTTAGCAAAGGTTAAGATCAGAAAAGGTCAAGTTCAATTTGATTTTCTTAAACAAATTGTCCAAAAGACAGGAAAGTATGACGATAATACATCCACTCCTGACAAAGAAATTGCTAATTATAATTATCCCAATTCAATAATTTGACCTACACTGTCAAGGGTCTTAGTCTTATGTATTAGTCTCAGTCAAGGTTTTTTGTGTCCAAGCATCAAGACTATCCATTAACTAATTACAAAGTTATATCTAATTATAGTAAAAACTAGAAATGTGTCCATAGGACACGGGTGCCGCCACCCGCCACTGTTCTGTCAATCTTATGACTCTAGGTCAAATATTTTTTGGACTACATGTGCCACAAGTTGAAAACTAAAAATCTTTTACTTAGTAAAGGGCAAGATCTTTACAAATACTGATAAATCCACAAGCAAACCCCAAGGTGCATAAGTACACATGCTGACCAACATTCTTGTAAACTTTCAGGCCTACAAGTCAAATACTTTTTGAGCTATGCATATACAAGTTGAAAATTGCAAATTTATACTACTGTAAGTCAAGGCAATAACTCTAACAAAACTAAAAATAATCCATAAGCAAAGTCCCAGTTGCAAAGCTTCACAGTGATGTTGATCATTATTCCTGTAATTTAGTGATGTTGATCATTTTCCTAACTCAAGCACTCAAGGAACAAATAACAACATAATGAAACAGTTTTTACTAAGTCAAGGGAAATAACTCTACAATTACTGGATAAATCCACAAGCGAAACCCCAGGTGCACAACTACACATGCTGAGCAACCTTCCTGTAAGGTTAAATGACTCTATCTCAAATCCTTTTTGAGTAACATGCGACACAAGTTGAAAATTGTAAAAAATTTCTTAGTCAAGGGCATTAACTCTAATAATACTAAATAAATCCAGATGAAAATACCCAGGTGCACAACTGCACATGCTGATAAACATTCCTGTAAAGTTTCATGACTATGTCAAATCCTTTTTGAGTTACATGCTACACAAGTTGAAAATTGCAAAATTTTACTAAGTCAAGGGCAACAAGAAACATGGCAATGCCATGAAACCAGGTTTTCAATTATCACCATTGTAGATAAATATGTTGTATTTGAAATACAAATACAAGCAACAAGCAATGTAACTATGTGCGATGTAAAACATGAATAATGTAGGAGGAATTGCCACAGAAGAAGTGTTCACTATATATTCTGTATAAGGAAAAAAAACAAAGGGCCATAATGAGGTCAAAAATTATCCAATCACAAAACCCCTACAATATGCGCCAGGGAACTTGATGACAAAGCTTCTGTGAAAGTTTGAACAAAATTCATTGAGAAATGTATGACGAGTTCAACACAGAAGAATTTGTTCACTTTATGTATAGTGATAATTCTGTATAAGGAAAAAAACAAACGGCCATAATTAGGTCAAATATTATCCAATCACAAAACCCCGACAATATGCGCCAGGGTACTTGATAACAAAGCTTCTGTGAAAGTTTGGTCAAAATCCATTGAGAAATGTAGCAGAAGTTGTGCACAGTAGAAATTGTTCACTATATGTTCTGTATAAGGAAAAAAAAACAAAGGGCCATAATTAGGTCAAATTTTATCCAATCGCAAAACCCCCACAATATGCCCCAGGGCACTTGATGACAAAATTTCTGTGAAAGTTTGGTCAAAATCCATTGAGAAATGTAGGAGGAGTTGCACACAGAAGAAATTGTTCACTATATATTCTATATCAGGAAAAAAAACAAAGGGCCACAATTAGGTCAAATATTATCCAATTGCAAAACCCCCATAATATGCACCAGGGCACTTGATGACAAAGCTTCTGTGAAAGTTTGGTCAAAATCCTTTGAGAGATGTAGGAGGAGTTGCGCAAAGAAGAAATTGTTCACTATATATTCTATATGACTTTTATGAGGAAAAAAACCAAAGGGCCATAATTAGGTCAAATATTATCCAATCGCAAAACCCCGACAATATGCGTCAGGGCACTTGATGACAAAGCTTCTGTGAAAGTTTGGTCAAAATCCGTTGAGAAATGTAGGAGGAGTTGCGCACAGAAGAAATTGTTTACGCCCGCCCGCCCGTCCGCCCGCCCGCCCGCCGACATACCTCAATCTAATAACCAGTTTTTTCCTTCGGAAAGTATAAATATAAATACTATATAAATCACGAAACATGAAAATATGTGGCATTTTATCATGTTGAGTGAAAATAAATACCATATTTCACGAAAAAATAACCTTTTTATTTAATTTCATTATCAAAGTAAAATGGTTACGAACCCCCTTGCTTGCTACATAACTGGCAGCACTCAGTAATATATTATTTATAGATGCACCTTGTTTTGCACACGATATTTGGCACTACATTGTGACATCACGTAAACAACTCTTTAAACGTCTGTACAGCACTAATGACTGAATTAAAGATATTGGTGTTCGGATTTATTTTCTTAGTAGGACCATTATCTATCACTCTAAGATAGTTTTCAAAACAATATTTAACAGAAAGTTGTTTTGTATTTATCAGATTTTTCAAACAAAATGCTGAAAGAAGTCCCTTAAAATAAATACGAGTTTTTACTCCGCCCACTTTCATATTTATATTTCATATTTATTTTTTAAAGATATGTTTGTAAATATGCAGCCAATTAGTCATGTGATCAGGTTATTATGACTGACTTTTGAACTAATGACCAAAAAATCAATAAGGGTTAATTACTGGTTATGACTAGTCACTAGATAATTGTGACCGCAAAGGTTGTGTGCAGCAATTATATGACAAAGTTATTTCAAATCTTACCAAATAATATATGCATACATTTTATGAATCATGTAGGCCTCAGTTATTATATTACATAAGACCTTGAAATGTGTATACCAAAAGGATTTTTAGTTTAATAAAAAAAATATCAACCAAGGCAACTTGAGTTGTTGAGTTATTGGTCAGAAACAGTCTTTACATACAAGGTCAATATGACATTGACCTTTGACCCTTAAATCAATTGAGGTTATCTACTGGCCAAGACCAATGCACCTGTGAAGTTTGAAAGTATAGGGCCCGTGAGTTGGGATATTGATCAGAAAGCCTTGTTACCTATAAGGTCAATGTGATCTTGACCTCCAACTACTTAACGCCAAAAAATCCATTGAGGTCATCTTCTGGCCAAAAGCAATGCATCTGTAAAGCTTGAAGGTCAAGTGTCCATGAGTTGTCCAGTTTTGTAATACAAGGTCAATGCAACCTTGACCTTTGTTCCCCTGACCCCAAAATCATAATGGGGTCATCTACTGGCCAAGACCAATGAACCTTCAAAATTTGAGGACCAAAAGCCCATAGCTTGTCAAGCTATTGATAGGAAACCGTTTTTACCAACAAGGTCAATGCAACTTTGATCTTTGACCGCTTGACCCTAAAATCAATAGGGGTCATCTACTGGTCAAGTCCAATGCACATACCAAGTTTGAGGGCCAACAGCCCATGGGTTGTCAAGTTATTAATTGGAAACTGTTTTTAACTACAAGGTCAATGTGACCTTGACCTTTGACCCCTTGACCCCAAAATCAATAGGGGTCATCTACTGGTCAGGAACAATCATCATACCAAGTTACCAAGTTTGAAGTTCCTAGGCCTAAGCGTTCTTTAGTTATCACTCAGAAACCATTTGGTCTATGGACCAACGGACCGACCGACAGACAAATGCAAAGAAATATACCCCCACTTCTTTGAAGGGAGGCATAAAAATATGAAATATATTTGACTGATATAGCACCATATTTCATGGGTAAGATAAATAAATAAATAGATAAATAAATAGATAGCTCTGGTAAAAGAAAACAAGAGCCACTGCCGGGCAGGTGCAAAGCTCTGGCCTTTTTCCTTTTTCTAAAAGCAAACAAAGAAACATTTGAAAAAATCTTAACGTTTCCTTTTTATAATTTTAATAGGTCTGTCTTGTCACATTAGTTTTGTCTTTCCATATATATCGGTATGTGTATCACAAAAGAAAACAAGAGCTGTCACAGAACGTGACAAATGCCCCCGAAGGATTCTAGTTATAAACCACCAATTACATGTTAAGTGTGGTGGAAAAACTTGACAAAGTTCGAACCCCAGCAGTGACCTTTAAGTGAGACAAAGAAACCTGGGTCTTGTTCACAACAAATTGTCCATCTATGGTGACTTTATATTTTAAAATAAAAATTGAAACTTTCATGTATTCTCGAGCAGACACAACAACCACCTTCTATATTTATATAACATAAGAAATGACAAAGTTTGAACCCCCACAGTGACCTTGACCTTAGTGGTAGAAACCTAAGTCTTGTTCGCAACACAATACCTCTATGGTTATTTCATATATGAACACACAAGTATCTCTGGGTTTGTACGGACAGACAGACGGACAGGCGATTTTAATATGCCTCTCTTCGGTGGCATAAAAATCTTAAGTGTTAATCTTTCATTTTTAGTTTAAAATATATTTCTTACTGTTGTGACTGAGAATGGAATATATGAACAATTTTAGTAAATCTTCAGACATTAAACATGCCAGACAAATGTAAATCCATCTGGCCTACTGCTTTCACTGAAGAATAAATGGAAAATAAATAGATTCTGCATATTGATCCTTAAAAAATCAAGCTGTATTAGCAGTTAGCTCTCAGGTGAGCTAAATATGTATGATGTTTTTGGCAACAAATTAAAACATACCCTGATTTCACATCAGCCACAGTTGTATTTGGGGCAGGTGCTCCTGCATGAGTAGTAAAATTCCCATACCAAGCCTGAGCTGGTGATCGGATAGGGCTGGTTGGTGTTGCCTGATGATTTACAGGACTCATCTCCATATATACTGGTGATTGTTCACCACTAACAGGGCTCTGTACATTTGGTGTACCTTGTGCATGTAGGCTGGATACAGAGGAAGGCTCGGACAAAACTTGTTGCTGCTGTTGTTGTTGATGCTGCTGTTGCTTTTGTCTTTCTTCCTGAAGTTGAGCTGCTGTCGCTATAACTTGCATATCTATGTCTGTTAGATCCATTTGCTAAAAAAGACATGAATAGCAAATATTAATACAATAACATATACACTGGAGCCTCTATATAGCACTCTCTGATATAAAGCTAATCTCAGTACAATGCTCATTGGCATAGGCTCCCAAAAAAATATAAGATTGCATTTGAGATAAATGCTATGCCACCGCATTAATACAACACTAAATAGTAGTATAGGAACAGATTTTTTTTGTTTCTATTCAATTGAAGATTGTCATAATGCATAGATCCCTGACCTGTCTAATTCTTATTATCAGATTAGTGGTTAAATCTATTGTTAATCCAATACAAGAGGGCCATGATGGCCCTGAAGTCGCTCACCTGTATATAGGCCCCCGGAGCGGGGCCAGTTTAAACCCCAGGGCTTTTATTTGAACAAACTTGGTAGACACCCATTAGAAGATATTTCATGCTTAACATCTAAGGTCTAGCTGGTCAAGTTTTTTTCTTTACACATATAGTTAAAAACAATGATACACCTGGGGCAGGGCCAGTTTTGACCCAAGGGCTTTTATTTGAAAAATCTTTGTAGACACTTACTAGAAAATGTTTCATGCTTAATATCTAAACTCTAGCTATTCGGGTTTTTTCAAAGAAGACTTTTAAGTTTTTGCTATACACATATAAGGAAAATCAATGTCAGCCCGGGACGGGGCCAATTTTGACCCCAGGGCTTTTATTTGAACAAACTTGGTAGACATCCATTAGAACATGTTTCATGCCATATATCTAAGCTCTAGCTCTTTGGGTTTTTTAGAAGAAGATTTTTTCAGTTTTTACTATATGCATATAGGGAAAATCAATGACCCCCTGGGGCGGGGCCAATTTTGACCCCAGGGCTTTTATTTGAACAAACTTGGTAGACACCCATGAGAAGATGTTTCATGCTAAATATCTTAGCTCTAGCTCTTTGGGTTCTTTAAAAGAAATTTTTTTAAGTTTTTACTATATGCATATAGGGAAAATCAATGACCCCCTGGGGCGGGGCCAATTTTGACCCCAGGGCTTTTATTTGAACAAACTTGGTAGACATCCATTAGAACATGTTTCATGCCAAATATCTAAGCTCTAGCTCTTTGGGTTTTTTAGTAGAAGATTTTTTAAGTTTTTACTATATGCATATAGGGAAAATCAATGACCCCCTGGGGCGGGGCCAATTTTGACCCCAGGGCTTTTATTTGAACAATCTTGGTAGACACTCAGTAGAAGATGTTTCATGCTTAATATCTTAGCTCTAGCTCTTTGGGTTCTTTAAAAGAAGATTTCTTTAAGTTTTTACTATATGCATATAGGGAAAATTAATGACCCCCTAGGGCGGGGCCAATTTTGACCCCAGGGCTTTTATTTGAACAATCTTGGTAGACACTCAGTAGAAGATGTTTCATGCCAAATATCTAAGCTCTAGCTCTTTGGGTTTTTTAGAAGAAGATGTTTAAAGTTTTTTCTTTTGGTTGCCATGGCAACCAGAGTTCTGCATGGAATGGAATTCTTTGAACAACTTTGTTAAAGCTTCACACAAGGAACATCCCTGTGAAGTTTCATTATGATCTCCTTATGGTTTCAGAGGAGATGTCGTTTGAAAAGTGTGAACGGACAACGTACGACGGACGAAGGACGACGTACGACGGACGAAGAGTGATCCTAATAGCTCACCCTGAGCATATGCTCAGGTGAGCTAAAAAGATAAGAGTAGGAATATATCAATGCACTTGAGTCTAGTGAATTTGGTGGTGAAGGTCATATTCCACACAGCCTAAATTTCATGACTACATCAAAGGACAACACAGTAAGACACTTTGTCAAAATCTAGGTCAGCTAATATCAAAGTTCACTTTACATCTTAATCTATGCAAATGGTTCAAATTTCATAGCTGTACATCAAAGGACAAGAAAGTAGGTCACATCATCAAAATCTAGGTCACCTGATATCAAAGCTCAATTTTACAACTAAAACTGTGCAAAAGGTCAAAATTTCATTGCTGCACATCAAAGGACAAGAAAGTAGGTCACAGTCCTCTTGGGCAAGGCAAAATTTTGACCCCAGGGCTATAATTTGTACAATCATGCTAGAGGTTCACTACACAATCTTTCATGCAAAATATCTTAACTCTAGCCTTTGTAAATTTAGAGAAGATGATTTTTTGAGTTTTTACTATATACATATAAGGATAACCTATGGCCCCCCCGGGCGCGGCTAATTTTGACACTCAAAGAGGCAAAATTTGAACAACTTTGGTAGAGTACCGATTTTGACCCCAGGGCTATAATTTTAACAATCTAGGTAGAGGTCTACCAGACAATGCCTTATGCAAAATATCTAAGCTCTAGGCCTTTTGGGTCTTTACAAGAAGACAAGCTTTTTTTATTCATGGCCCCTGTGACCTCGACCTTTGACCTGATGACCTCAAAATCAAAAGGGGTCATCTTATGGTCATGTCCAACCTCCATGCCAAATACAGGGGTGTCAACATGTCTAAAATTAAAATCCTGAAAATGCCGGGGGTTTGGGGGGAACAGGTCCCTATTGGGGTCAAGGGACAAAGCCCCTGTGGGGGGTCTAGGGGGGCAAAGTCCCCCAAGAAAAGTTGAAATTCAGCATTTTAAAATGCACTAGAACAATTTCCCCAGACACTTCACCAATATTTTTTAAATGTATTTGTCATAATTTTTTGCCATTTTCACTCTGACCAAGTCACATCATTTTTTTCCTCTGACAGTATAGTCTAAAACCTTTTATCGTATGTGTTGCATTTAATCAAGAGTTATAAAAGTTGAGTGTAAACAATAAAAGATAAAACAACTTTTAAAACAAGCATATAACTTTAACTAGAAATGTGTGCATAGGACACGGGTGTCCCCACCGCGCCACAGTTCTGTCAATCTTATGACTCTAGGTCAAATATTTTTTGAAAACTAAAAATCTTTTACTAAGTGAAGGGCAAGAACTTTACAAATATACTGAATAAATCCACAAGCAAACCCCAAGGTGCATAAGTACACATGCTGACCAACATTCTTGTAAACTTTCAGGCCTACAAGTGAAATACTTTTTGAGCTATGCATGAACAAGTTGAAAATTGCAAATTTATACTACTGTAAGTCAAGGGCAATAACTCTTAACAAAACTGACAAAAATCTACATGCAAAGTCCCAGGTGCATAGCTTTACAGTGATGTGAATCATTATTCCTGTAATTTAGTGATGCTGATCATTATTCCTGTAAAGTTCGTTGATTCTAACTCAAGCACTCGAGGAACAAATAACAACATAATGAAATGGTTTTTACTAAGTCAAGGGAAATAACTCTACAAATACTGGATAAATCCACAAGCGAAACCTTTTTGAATTACATGCGACACAAGTTGAAAATTGCAAACATTTTATAAGTCAAGGGCAATAACTCTAAAAATACTTAATAAATCCAGATGAAAATACCCAGTGCACAACTACACATGCTGATCAATATTCCTGTAAAGTTTCATGACTCTATGTCAAATACTTTTTGAGTTACATGCGACACAAGTTGAAAATTGCAAAATTTTACTAAGTCAAGGGCAATAACTCTAATAAAAATAACAAGATATGTTTGTAAAACATGTATGCCCCCTATTGGTAGCCAATTAGTCATGTGATCAGGTTATTATGCATGACTTTTGACCCAGCGAACAAACAATTAATATTAAAGGGTTGTATCTAGTATCTACTGGTCATGACTAGTCACAAGGTAATAATTATTGTGACACCATAGGTTGTGTGCAGCAATTTAAGTTATTACAAATCTTACCAAATGATATATGCATAAATTTAATGAATCATGTAGGCCTCATTAATGACAGCCAAGTTGTTATATTACATAAGACCTTCAAAAGTGTATACCAAAGCAGTTTTAGTTTAATATAAAAATATCAACCAAGGCAACTTGAGTTGTTGAGCTATTGGTCAGAAACCGTCATTAAATAATTAAGGTTAATATGACATTGACCCCTTGACCCAAAAATCAATAGGGGTCATCTACTGGTCATGACCAATCATCATACCAAGTTTGAAGTTCCTAGGCCTAAGCGCTCTTAAGTTATTGATCGGAAACCGTTTTTACCTACTAGGTCAATGTGACCTTGACCTTTGACCCATTGACAACAAAATCAATAGGATTCATCTGCTGGTCATGACCAATCACCATACCAAGTTTGAAGTTCTTAGGCCTAAGTGCTCTTTAGTTATTGATCGGAAACTGTTTTTACCTACAAGGTCTATGTGACCTTGACCTTTGACCCCTTGATCCCAATATCAATAGGGGTCATCTGCTGGTCATAACCAATCATCATACCAGGTTTGAAGTTCCTAGGCCTAAGCGTTCTTAAGTTATTGATCGGAAACCATTTTTACCTACAAGGTCAATGTGACCTTGACCTTTGACCCCTTGACCCAAAAATCAATAGGGGTCATCTGCTGGTCATAACCAATCACCATATCAAGTTTGAAGTTCCTAGGCCTAAGGGTTCTTTAGTTATTGATCGGAAACCGTTTATACCTACAAGATCAATGTGACCTTGACCTTTGACCCCTTGACCCCAAAATCAATAGGGGTCATCTGCTGGTCATGACCAATCATAATACCAAGTTTGAAGTTCCTAGGCCTAAGCGTTCTTTAGTTAGAGCGGAAACCGTTTTTACCTTCAAGGTCAATATGACCTTGACCCCTTGACCCCAAAATCAATAGGGGTCATCTACTGGTCATGACCAATTACCATGCCAAGTTTGAAGTTCCTAGGCCTAAGGGTTCTTTAGTTATCACTCGGAAACCATTTGGTCTACGGACCGACGGACCGACAAATGCAAAGCAATATACCCCCTCTTCTTTGAAGTGGGGGCATAATAAATAAATCCAGACGAAAATACCCAGGTGCACAACTACACATGCTGATCAACATTCCTGTAAAGTTTCATGACTCAAGGTCAAATACTTTTTGAGTTACGTGCAACACAAGTTGAAAATTGCAAAATTTTATTAAGTCAAGGGCAATAACTCTGAAAATACTAAAAATATCCAGACGAAAATACCTAGGTGCACAACTACAGATGCTGATCAACATTCCTGTAAAGTTTCATGACTCTAGGTCAAATACTTTTTGAGGTACGTAGAACGGACGGACAGACAAGGGTAAATCTAAATGCCCACCACTAAAGTGGGGGCACAATTATATATAAAAGGAGAAAATATATCTGCTCTCATTTTCAACCAAAAACTTTTCTAGATGTCCAACTTATACATGTTGACACTATAAAGATACAAACAGCTCATACTTGTTAAGATTCTCAACAGTTATCAGTACATAATGAAATTAAATCTTGACCTTACAGCATCCATTCAAGTATATAAACTTTGTGTGATGATTTTGATTCTTATGGTTTAAAGTTAAATTTACTGATGAACTGCTACTTAAATATTATATATTTTCTATCAGTGATCTCCTTCATAAGCAGCTCTTGATTTCTTAACACAGATTGAAACGGTTTCAAAAGCTCTTTTTTTTGTCATAACTGGTTTTTTACGCTATGTCTAGGTTTTCCCTCACACTCTCACTTTCTGCTCTCTGTTGTGATAGTTGTTCATTCCTCGCACTTCCTGCACTACTCATCAAAAGTATGAGCCCAGTTACAATTGGTGAGTAGAGCACATCTTTTCTGTCAAAATACTCAACAGCACTTCTGTTTTTGGCTTTGAGGCTGGATAGCATTGAGTGTCCCTATACTCATAGACCCTGATTTGCAGTCCATGATATCGCCCATCAAATTGAACACACCTTTCAACACCTTTCATTAATGTTTGCATAAAATACGTACCAATATTTTGTAGTAGATTCCTTACATTCCTAAAACAACCTCAAAGAGACAATTTGAGAATTTCATTCTTTGGTTGTAATCAGTAGACGCTTGCAAGCAATGCGCCTGGTGATTTTGATCACGATGCTAAAACCTATACATCCCGTACCGGTCGCACTAATACCGTTTTTCGTCGATTTCTTTTTCATGACACTCACGTTAACTACAGTATTGTATCCGTCAATCACCAAGGACTTTTTAAAACAACTGAACCCTTACCCCCCCCACCCCCATCGAATTTTTTCATCGAATTTGCACTTATCTCAGAAATGACTTTTTGGCTGGAAAATCCGGAATTCCGGCTTAATCCTGACTTTTGACACCCCTGCAAATATGAAGACTGTGGGTCAAAGGAATTCTAAGTTATTGGGCGGACAAGCTTTTTTAGTCAAGGCCCCATGTGACCTTTGGCTTGGTCACCTCAAAATCAATAGGGATCATCTACTAATCATGACCAATCTAAATAACAAATATGAAAGCTTTGTTTGCAGGGGGTATAAGTTATAATGATATATACATTTATCTCACCTTGGACACCTCAACCTTCTGCGAATCTATCTTTATCACATCATGTTTAGCCTGCTGCTCTTGTAGAAACTGGATTTGTCTATCATGCTCCTGTTGTTTTAACAAAGCCTCATACTGAGCCAGTGCCATCTGTTGTGTACTAGCCAGAGAGTTCTGTCCAGCTACTTCTGGTAAATTTACTGCCATTGTTACAAGAACAGGAACATTAGTGTTCAAATTTGGCATTAACATAAGTTGTTGAGCTAACACTTTATTGTCTGAAGCTACAGGAGATGACGTCACTGGGTTATTCTTGGTACTAGATTGACTAACAGAGTTTCCTGGTGATGTTTTACCTGCATTCAAACTACTTGTAAGACTTGTCGTACCTCCTTTTGGTGTGGCTTGAATTGGTAAAGCATTAGATGCATCAGCTAATACCTCTGCAGCTGCACTGGCTGCAGCAACCATCTCTTTGGATATCTGCTCACTTGTGTGTTGATGGTGATTTTCTAGATGACGCTTGAGAGAGCGAGCATCACAGTAACTTTTCTCACATCCAATAACCATGCACTGGTATGGCTTCTTGTCTCTATGTGTCATTAAATGACCATTTCTGAAAAAATATAATACTTGAAAGTTCATCATACAAGCAGAGCTCATCCAGAAGGGTGATTCAGGCCAAAACTTTGCCGTAAATATTCAAATTTTGTTCTCCTGATATACCGGAGAGCTGAATTTCGATATATCAAAGATAAGTCAAATACCTCGGAAAAAATTGAGTCCTAATTACTTTACTTGTCAATGTCACGAAGAAAGTTGGTATCTGCACATATGCATCAACAAATTATCATTAGCCAATCAGAGAGCCGCCATATACTACACTTATACATGTATGCAAAAGGATTAGCTGGCCTACAATATGATGTCATCAGTCTGAGGTGGGCATAATTGTTTGACAATTAATCGATTGTACAGGGTGGTATTCATGCAATGTCCCTCCCTGTCTGACTCTGATTGACTAAACATGTGCTTTACCTAATTGATGTAAACAATGCACTACAATGTTGGTGTTTAACACAAGTAAATTTTTACGAGTTGCGATAATGTTTCACGGCTATAAACACGCAAGTCAATAAACTATCTCCTGAATTAAGAACATTTGGGTTTTAGGTATAATGGTTAAAGTTTGTTTACACTTTATATGGATTTTTTATATGGATAGGGAAAACCCCACATTTGACAAGTTCCGGGTAACATCTATTAAGAATGTTTTGGTTTTCCCCAGCTAACCCGGGGGTACAAATAAGAGCAACAGGTTGACGGATAGTGCACCGTGAATCTATAACGGTAAAGGTTTGATTGTACGGGACGTTAGCTGGGAAAAACCCACATTCGCTGAGTTCCAGATTACAACTATTAAACAACAGGGCAATTTTGACCCAAGGGCAATAATTTGCACAATTTTTGTACAGGTCCACTACACAATGTTTCATATCAAAAATCTAAGCCTCTATAGTACAAATATAAGTAGAAATGTGCCCATAGGACACGGGTGCCCCCACACGCCACTGTTTTGTCAATCTTATGACTCTAGGTCAAATATTTTTTGGACTACATGTGCCACAAGTTGAAAACTAAAAATCTTTTACTTAGTAAAGGGCAAGATCTTTACAAATACTGATAAATCCACAAGCAAACCCCAAGGTGCATAAGTACATGTGCTGACCAACATTCTTGTAAACTTTCAGGCCTACAGGTCAATTACTTTTTGAGCTATGCATGAACAAGTTGAAAATTGCAAATTTTTTACTAGTTCAAAGACATTAACTCTAACAAAACTGAAAAAATCCACATGTAAAACCCCAGGTGCACAGCTTCACAGTCATATAACTTGACAAGAGTCATGACGTTTTGTTATTGTGAAAAATATAAGTTTGCATGTCATTGCTTTGTGATGAAGTTGAAAAATATTCAACTTACCAATAAAATTTATCAAATATATATAAATGCAAATATGAGACATTGGTAAAAAAAATTACAAAGGCTGTATAAGAAAAGTCTGGACATGAATGTGAATCACAACCTCTAAGTGTGACCTTGACCTTTTAGGTAGTGACATGACTGTGTCTTAGATGCAACACATCATCTTGTCGCAAGTAAAAAATATATTTTAAATCTTACAATGCATGACAAAGTTACAGTGCTGACACTGTACCTTCAAACACTTCTTGTGAGAAAAACTATAAATGTGACCTTGACCTTGGAGGTCTTGGATGCGACACATCCCCTTGATGTGGTAGACATTTATACCAAATTATTTTAAGATCCTTCAGTGCATGACAAAATTACAGTCTGGACACATATCCTTGTGAATCCTCTACTTAAGTTATGTAATTGATGAACCTTGGATAAACAAGGCAGTCTGAAAGACAGCTATAACCCCCTTCCCCAGTGAACCTTTTATAGCCATGACCTTGATGTTATGCCATGCATATCATAAACACATAGTCTCATGATGGTGCTTATTTGTGCCATGTTATTTGAAATCTTCCGTAAAGTAAAACAAGAGGGCCATGATGGACCTGGATCGCTCCCCTGACCCATCAACCGCATCCAAGCAATATCTTAGACAAGCATTCTGGCCAAGTTTGAAGACAATTGTGTAAAAAATGTGACCCATAGTGTTTAAAAAGGTGTTTCCATATTTGGGCAATGTGACCTAGTTTTTGACCGGAGACAACCCATGTTCAAACTTGACCTAGAAATCATCAAAACAACCTTCCTGACCAATTTCCAGAATATTTGGATCAAAACTCTGCAACTAGAGTGTTAACAAACTTTTTCTATTTTTAGCTCCTGTGACCTAGAATTTGACCGGAGATGACCCAGCTTCAAACTTGACCTAGAAATCATCAAAGCAACCTTCCTGACAAATTTCAAGAATATTTGGATCAAAACTGCAGCCACTAGAGTGTTAACAAGATTTTTCTTTTTCTAGCTCCTGTGACCTAGTTTTTGACCAGACATGACCCATCTTCGAAGTTGACATAGAAATCATCAAAACAACCTTCCTGACAAATTTCCAGAATATTTGCATTCAAAACTGCAGCCACTGGAGTGTTAACAAACTTTTTCTATTTTTAGCTCCTGTGACCAAGTTTTTGACCGGAGATGACCAATCTTCGAACATGACCTAGAAATCATCAAAACAACCTTCCTGACAAATTTCCAGAATATTTGGATCAAAACTGCAGCCACTAGAGTGTTAACAAGCTTTTTCTTTTTCTAGCTCCTGTGACCTAGTTTTTGACCAGACATGACCCATCTTCGAAGTTGACGTAGAAATCATCAAACAACCTTCCTGACAAATTTCCAGAATATTTGAATCAAAACTGCAGCCACTGGAGTGTTAACAAACTTTTTCTATTTTTAGCTCCTGTGACCTAGTTTTTGAGTGGACATGACCCATCTTCGAACTTGACCTAGAAATAATCAAAACAACCTTCCTGACAAATTTCCAGAACATTTGGATCAAAACTACAGCCACTAGAGTGTTAACAAGATTTTTCTGTTTTTAGTGACCTAGTTTTTGACCAGAGATGACCCATCTTTGAACTTGACCTAGAAATCATCAAAGCAACCTTCCTGACAAATTTCCAGAATATTTGGATCAAAACTGCAGCCAAGCTTTTTCTATTTCTAGCTCCTGTGACCTAGTTTTTGACCCATCTTCGAACTCGATCTGTATTTCATTGAGACAAACATTCTGACAAAGTTTGATGATTATACACTCAAAACTGTGACTGCTAGACTGTTAACAACCTAATTGTTTGACGATGAACGACGCACGACGATGGACGCAAGACATAGCCCCATCACTATACCTCACCTTGACCACTTCGTGGTCAGATGAGCTAAAAAGTAATGAATAACATATAACCTTGACCTTGGGGGTAGCAACCTAGATGTTGAACTCTGCAGATTATGTCATGGTGACGATCATTTATGCCAAGTAATTTTAAACCTTTGAATTGTCAATAAGTTAAAGAGCAGATATGAAAAATACATGTTTTTTTACATTGGACCTTTGAGTGTGAAATAGCTCACCTGTTTATAGGCCCCTGGGCAATGGCCAATTTTAACTCAGGGGCTTTTATTTGAACAAATTTGGTAGACACCAATTAGAAGATGTTTCATGATAAATATCTAAGCTCTAACTTTTTGGGGGTTTTATAAGAAGATTTTTTAAGTATTGACTATATACATATAGGGAAAAACAATGACTCCTCTCGGAGGGGCCAATTTTTACCCCAGGGCTTTTATTTGAACAAACTTGGTAGACACTGACTAGATGATGTATCATGCCAAATATTTAAGCTCTAGCTCTTTCTATTTTTAAAAGAAGATATTTTAAGTTTTTTCTTTCTTGAAAAAAGCACAACGCTTGGAATTTAATTCTTTGAACAATTTTTAAAGTTGACTACCAAAGAAACATTCCTGTGAAGTATGGATGAAATTGGCTGAGCGGTTTATAAGGAGATGTCATTTAAAGTAAAAGTTAGACTTTATTATGAAATGAAGAGCTTTTAACTTTTGATCTTTAAGTGTGACCTTGACCTTGGGGGTAGCAACCCAATTATAACGCTCTGCACATCGTCTCATTATGGTGATAACTTGTGCCAAATTATTTTAAAAAAATTTCAGTAGTTTAAGTTTGATAGTTATGGAGCGGACACGAAATGTGGACTTTTATTATAAAATGAAGAGCTTTTAACATTTGACCTTTAAGTGTGACCTTGACCTTGCAGGTAGCAACCCAATTATTGCGCTCTGCACATCATCTCATTATGGTGATTACTTGTGCCAATTTATTTCAAAAATTTTTTAGTGCTTTAAAAGTTATGGAGCGGACACGAAAGTGTTACGGAGGGACGGACGTTCCTACTGAGTTGACATTATGGGTTTTTTTTCTTTGATCTCCTTTGATCGCTAAAACCCCATAAGCAAAGTATTTGCACCCCATAGGCAACCTTTTCCCCACATTTTTCCCTAACTTGAAAATTGTAAATTTTCACTAATTCATAACTTCACATGCTGAGCAACATTCCTGTCAGGTTTCATGACTCTAGGTCAAATACTTTTGAGTTACCTGCGACACAAGTTGAAAATTGCAAATTTTTACTAAGTCAAGGGCAATTACCCTATAATTACTGTATAAATTCACACGCATATTATCAGGTGCACAACTACAGAATGCTGACTAACATTCCTGTAAAGTTTCATGACTCTAGATCACAAACTTTTTGAACTACGCATGAAACAACACGAGAACGGATGGACGTCCGGACAGACAAGGGTAAATCTAAATGCCCTTCCCCCCTTAAAGTGGGGGCCCAACTCGTAAAATAAAACCCAAACAAAACTTACAAATGATCTTGTCTCTTGAATTTTTTCTCACAGATTGTACACAGATATTTCCTTTCATCACTATGAGTCAGTTTGTGCTTGGCCAAGGCACTAGTATTATTGAAAACTTTGTGACACTGGTTACATTCTAGCGGTCCAGTGACTTTACCTGGTGACATCTGACTTTTACCATTCTTATTACGATATTTCGAGCTAACTTTTTTCTTGTCTTCATCTCGAAGACTTGTTTCTGTAAAATACAAATTGTATCACTTCTTGATAATCATACTCTACTTTTCTGAAAAATAAAATCTAATAGTATTAATTTGTAGTTTTAATATCTTAAATTTCATAAATTTAAATTACAAATGTTGTTTATGAATATTTATACCACCACATTTCAAAGAATGACCAGACACATGAAACAGATTCATAATTTGGTCTTTGGTATCCATGTGCTACCACAACCCTTGATAATTAAGAATTCTTTAACATTTCTATGCCGTATATATATAGTTACTCACCTGCCATATTTGAATCTCCAGAATCTGAGACACCACCAACAGATTGGAGGTTACCAGGGTCCATTAGTAAGTTGTGTGGTGAAAGAGCATCCATATTTAAAGAGTCTCCTTCACTATCAAACAATTGAAAAGTATCATTGGATGGGTTTTCATTTAGTCGGCCAGAATTGCTTATCCCAGCTAAAATACCGTCATCTAAATTTCCAAGATTGCTTCCAACATCAAAACTTGTTTCGATCATTTCACTGTCATTGTAATTGATAGCACTCAACATAGCATCACCTGCAGCACCAGTTGTACGATAAAGAATATGAGAGCTCTGCGATATTGAAGCTGGGCTAGGCTGTCCTGGTTCACTCAGACTGGTTGTAGTTATAATGGAAAGAGGACCTGGGGACATACGTTTGTCTTGTTCTGTTGAGTTAAGTATCTTATGGAGCTGAGCTTGACTTAGCATTGGACCACCAGGTTGGCCTTCAATCCTGATATGCTGGGAAAGAAGTGGCAACTGAATATTTGTATTCTCTGCTATTTTGAGCACTGGATACCCTGAAAAATTAGAATGATGACAACTGTGGCAATAAATTTACAGTTACAGCAGAAGCAATTAAGCACTGCCTTATCCGCAGCCTAATAGGAGAAAAGTTACAAACAAGATTGCATTTGTGAAAAATGCTATGCCACCGCATTAATACAACACTAAATAGTAATGTAGGAACAAAAACTTTTTTGTTTCTATACAATTGAAGATTGCCATAATGCATAGATCCCTGACCTATCTAATTCTTATTATCAGATTAGTGGTTAAATCTATTGTAATTAAAATAAAAGATCAGAGTAGGATTCTATCAATGCAGTTGAGTCTAGTGAATTTGTAGGTGAAGGTCATATTTCACATGGCCTAAATTTCATGACTGTACATCAAAGGACAACAGAGTAAGACACTTTGTCAAAATCTAGGTCAGCTGATATCAAAGTTCACTTTACATCCGTTTACATATTGTGGGTCAAATGGAACTTAAGTTATGCTCCGGAAACTGTTTTCAGTATTAAGGTAATAGTGATCTTGACCTTTGACCTTGTGACCCCAAAATCAATAGGGGTCTCCAACCCAGTATGGACAATCATTCTATGAAGTTTGAATATTGTGGGTCAAATGGAACTTAAGTTATGCTCCGGAAACTGTTTTCAATTTTAAGGTAATAGTGAACTTGACCTTCGACCTTGTGACCCCAAAATCAATAGGGGTCTCCAACCCAGTATGGACAATCATTCTATGAAGTTTGAATATTGTGGGTCAAATGGAACTTAAGTTATGCTCCGGAAACTGTTTTCAATTTTAAGGTAATAGTGAACTTGACCTTTGACATTTTGACCCCAAAATCAATAGGTGTCTTCTACCCAATATGGACAATAATCCTATGAAGTTTTAATATTGTGGGTCAAATGGAACTTAAGTTATGCTTCGAAAACTGTTTTCAGTTTTAAGGTTATAGTGACCTTGACCTTTTGACCCCAAAATCAATAGGGGTCTTCTACCCAATATGGACAATCATCCTATGAAGTTTGAACATTGTTGGCCAAATGGAACTTAAATTATGCTCCGGAAACCGAATTGCTAACGGACGGACGGACGTTCCAACATTTTGGGTTTAGGTGCTATTTTCTTTGTTATTTTCTTTGTTTTCTTAAGAGCTACTAGCCCATAAACCCTTTGATCACGGAATGAACCTATTGTTCTCTTTTGTTCTCTACAGTTATATAGCCCCTAAACCCAAAATGTTTGCTCGGACAGACAGACGAACGCCAGGGGGTATAACATAATATGCCGTTTTGGGCATATAAAAAGTCCCTTAATGTGACATAAAGATCAACCCTGACCCAACTAAAACTAAAATCACTGTCAGACTCTCATGCTAAACTACATAACTATAACATAAGCTCTATTTTTTCCATCGAGAAAGGACAGTTTCTTACCAGAAAATGTAGGTGGGTCCTCATTTGATTGTGAGGCTGCAGTCTGAGCCAAAATCTCCAGGTTTCCTGGCATTGCCATCTCTGGGGTGGTCACCAGATCTGGGTGACCAGCTGGGTCCATCATTTACATCTGTAAAGTAATAATAAACATGGTAAGTTATTGAATTGATATTCCTTTCCTTAGGATACAAAGGTAGAAACATTTCTTTTTAGTATTATGTAGAACTCAGATTGTGAAAGAAAATTAATTACTGCAAAATCATTATTATTTGTGGAGCACAATTTTTCATGGTTTTTGTGGGTAGGTCAATTCAGGATTTTAAGATCCCGTATTTAATCATTCCTGTCAAGTTTTGATGAAAATGCACCATTAGTTTCCAAGAAGTAGTATGGGCAACACTGCAACATTTTTTTATCAAAGGGCCAAACGTTACTAAGCCAAACATCATTGAAGTGGAAAACCTGTGTAATATGCATAAGTACTTGAGCTATCAATCAAGTTACAGTGATATTGCATGAATAGTGTAAGAGGAGTGGTGCGGACGAATTTTTAAAATAACTAGAGCTATCACTAAAAGTGATTTATACCCCCACTAGCATCCTTTGACTTCCTGAAAAATAGGTGGTCCGAAGCAAAATTTAAACTTAACTTAAGAGGTAACAACTGTTTACAAATAATTATTAATAACTCATTCTTATCTAATGTTATTGTCATGATACCATATTTTTTCTATCTTTTAGTGACAGTGAGTCAGTGACCCCTGTCCCTAGGAGGTCCATACAACAATCCCAACCAGGGTTTCCAAAAAAGGCTGCTAAATACCAAGCTTGATAACAACTAGACCTATCACTGAAGGTGATTAATACCCCCACCAGCAACTTTGACTTTTGAAAAATAAGTTGTCTGAAGAAAAATTTGAAATAAACCTACAGTAAATAAAGTACCATCAGCACTGTGTACAAAGAATTATTTCAATTTATTGCAATCCAAACTAGGATCTTGATATAAGCTTGCTGTACACCAAGTTTGATCCTAACTCTAGCAATTGTCTGGAAACCATTTTTCTATTTTTAGTAACTGTGACCTTGAACCAAGGGAGTCAAAATGCAATACCAAGCGCGCTCTTCATGTAAGCTTGCTAAACACCAAGTTTGATTACAATATCTCATTCCTTACTTTAGTTATTGTCCGGAAACCATTTTTCTATTTTTAGTAATGGTGACCTTGACCTTGGCCCTTGGGGATCCAGATGCAATACCAACAGGGGTCTTCATGTAAGCTTGTTATATACCAAGTTTGATTACAATATCTCATTCCTAACTTTAGTTATTGTCCGGAAACCATCTTTCTATTTTTAGTAACGGTGACCTTGACCCCAGGGGGTCCAGATGCAATACCAACCAGTGTCTTCATATAAGCTTGCTATATACCAAGTTTGATTACAATATCTCATTCCTAACTTTAGTTATTGTCCGGAAGCCATTTTTCTATTTTTAGTAACAGTGACCTTGGCCCCAGGGGGTCCAGATGCAATACCAACCGGGGTCTTCAAATAAGCTTGCTAAACACCAAGTTTGATTACAATGTCTCATTCCTAACTTTAGTTATTGTCCGGAAACCATTTTTCTATTTTTAGTAACGGTGACCTTGGCCCCAGGGGGTCCAGATGCAATACCAACCAGGGTCTTTATATAAGCTTGCTGTACACCAAGTTTGATTACAATATCTCATTCCTAACTTTAGTTATTGTCCGGAAATCATTTTTCTATTTTTAGTAACGGTGACCTTGACCTTGACCCCAGGGGGCCCAAATGCAATACCAACCCAGGTTTTCATAAAAGCTTGTTATACGCCAAGTTTGATAACAATATCTCATTCCTAACTCTAGTTATTATCCGGAAACCATTTTTCTATTTTTAGTAACGGTGACCTTGAACCCAGGGGGTCCAAATGCAATACCAACCGGAGTTTCCACATAAGGTTGCTATATACCAAGTTTGATTACAATACCTCATTCCAAACTCTAGTTATCGTCCGGAAACCATGATGTGGACCGACTGACGGACTGACCGACCGACAAGCTGACTCCTATATACCCCCCCTAAACTTCGTTTGTGGGGGTATAATTACAATTTGTATTCTTCTGTATGCATTCAAAATGTGTTTGTTTCTCATTCAACATAGGATCATCCTTAAAAAATTAGCTACCTGTTTGCCACTTCTTACTGGCCATTTTTAGTTGGGTTGGTAGGTACAGTAGGTTGGTAGGTAAATTTTATCAACAACTGCAGCCTTGAATTAAAAGATTTTGGTCTCTTATTGAATTAACAGCAGAGTTTAATATACATTATATTTGTTGTTATTTTTTGCTGTCAAGCAGTTTGTTTTATTTTAACCATCTGATCTTTGCTCAAGATAAATTAGGTGAAAAGGATTGTCATTAAAATGAATAAAATATTTTATAAGTACTTTTCCATAACATATAAAGTTATTAACCAATGACATAAATTGAAAATATGTAATGTCCACTTTTTTATTTGCACTGAATGGCTCCCAAGTGGCCTTACAGAATGTATTCATGTTTTGTGAATAAAAACATAATTTTTAATTCATATCAGTTTTACATTTGTACACATTTTGGCCTGTCCTTGTATTTTCGATATTACAGAAAAAGCTGAACAGTTTAAGTAAGATTTATTTAGATTAAATTTAAACAATTGTAACACCTTGAATGCTAGCATATTTTTCCAAATTGGCAAATTTCACGATAATTTTTTTCCCAAATTGGAAAATTTTACGACACAAATTTCCCAAATTTGTCATGTGGCATTTTCCCAATATAGAGGAAAAAGGTCTGTCGCAGCATGCAGAAGTCTGCCAGTGCAACTTTAAACAGTAACACCAGAGCAACAGATAATGTGCGTATTTGCCTATTTATGAAATTTATTTTACAAAATATGCAATTATTTTTTATATGCATATCAAAATCCATTAAAAAAAGATACGCAATTGCCTTAAATATCCACGCGTATTGTCATTTTCGTCATGCAAAATTAACCTGTCATCCACTCGTAGTTTTGGACAATAGTTGTATGCATGCTTTCCAAATATTCCCAAATGCAATTAGGGCTTACTAATAGACGGTCTGTGGTCTTTGAAGGTCCCCGGTATCGAAAGACTGCTGAAGTCAAATCAATTAAGTATGAGACTGTCAATTTATATAATACTCTACTCATGTTGACAGTCTTTACAGACCAGCAGAGATCATTGTTTTTTGATAAGTAGGTCCCATGCGAATAACCTATATCAATAGACACTCTGAAAGCTATATGGCATCGTACATACAAGAAGATTTGCAACATAACAGTTCTAAATAGTTAAAAATCCGCCAGAAAACGAAGTTGTTTAAATTCTGGACAATGTTTTATGTGCCACATTCCGGAATGTAGACAAATAACTGGCACATTCCGGCAATTGCGTAAATAATAATAAAATAACATAATTCATATCTTCATAATTGAATTCCAAATTGATCTTAAAATCATAGGGTAACAGGTTTTAGAATACCCAATTAAATGGAGACAATACCCAATTCCACATGAAATGATGGAGTAATACCCAATTTACTTTCAAAGCTTATCTGTTGTTCAGAACATATTATTCTTTGTCTGCAGATAAAGTTTGAAGTTACCAAACTTGATTTTAAACACAAAAAGGTTTGGACTATTTTTGTTAATAAAGGAAGATACTAAAAAAAATTAATGAACTTTTTCATCTAAATTTTGGACTGACGGATTTTTGATGGATTGGATGAAAGCAGCAAACAAACAATCTTTTAATTTAGACGCATGAAGAATGCAAGCTAATGCTTTAATAACAACAAAAGCATGTAAAATCTAAACTTTTGAAATTTATTTTTGCCATTTAAAACTCGATTGTCTTGCTTTCCTAATTGACCGATAATTTACAAATATTTCAAACACATCAAAACTTGATGTCGCTACCTCCAAGCTACTGCATGTTCCATGTGCATGTTGACAAGACAATTGCCTTAAACTGGTTAAATGCAGGCTTCGCGAAAGTTGCCGGACCGTCGGACATGTCCGGCAAAAATCAGGCCGGTCCGATATTTTTTTTCGGAGTTCCGGACCTTATGTCCGGTACGAATACCGGGATATATCCAAGACCGATCAAGACCGAGTTTTCTCCCTTTGAATAAAAAAATGTAAAACGAGTTTTGATTCGCCGTTTCATTATAAGTGTCCAATCAAATTCTAGATACATACGACTGTCAATAACCAAAATGTCGGTGTTACTACATTATTACGCTGGTGCTACGCCCAGCAAAAATCGTAAACTATCCAATGAAGATAAAAAAGCGAAACAAAAGGAGTACGAGTCCAGGCGCCCGCCGAGAAAATTTGTGGGTAAATGGAAAAATGGCCGCTTTGATCATGAATGTTTTGATTTCCAGACAGAGTCCATCAATCTAGATAAACTAATGTTTTATTTAAGGGAATAAAATTGTGTTGCAAATCTTTAAAAGTTGTTATGTCTTTAAAAAAAACCACAAAGGTATTACCATATACATATATTTGGAAAAAAAATTCGGTCAGACAAAAGTTCTTTCGGTCAGACAAGAATTGAAAGTTTGTCTGACCGAATGTCAGGCAAATTTTTCAGCAGTTTCGCGAAGCCTGTAAATGCAGATCATTTGCCGCTTATTGATTGACAAACAGTAAGACTTTTGTGCTCTTGCTGAAATTCTTGTATGTCAAATTTGTTACAGGTGCATTCTAGAAATTACTTGTCTCCATAATTAATCATGCAATCTAATGTTGTATTTGCAGGCTTATCAATGCTACTAATAATTTTAATGCAACTATGTAGCAGGTTGCAGGACTTTCCTAATCTCTCAATATAAGCTTGCTATATATCTCAATTGATTAAAACATGTCATTCCTACCTTTGTAGCAACAGATAAGTGTTATTGACATTTTCTAACAAGACTACATTGCACATGTATGTGAACATTTATATTTGATATTGATCACTGCGAATCTCTGATTTTCCACCGGGGATGTTTTACCCATCCTCCGTGATTTGCCACTGTGACTGACCATATAGTATGTCCCCTTCAAAGTGGAAAGTGCAAAAATCGCTCAAGCTGTATTAATCCGAAATTGGATTCTATATGAATTTATGTTCTCTGATGGGTGTATTCAATTTAGATGTCATATAAAACATGAAATGGCCGTATTTATCAAAAGTAAAAATATTGTGTGGTAGTGTTGATTGATTTGTGCAACCGAAAGTGTACAGTTGTAAATCCTTTCAAAGAGCTCGCTTTGAGGCTTTGCCTTATTCATCTTCACAATTAGTTAATGGTATATTCACAGGCCTTACAAAGGTTTGAAATTATGATAAGTAATAAAATATGTCATGTATATATATTCTATGGCATTGTATTTTATTTGACAGCAAACATGTCCACCAGAAACACGGAATTAAAGCACACAAATTGATGACATCGAAGTCATTTTTAGTAAAAAAATAAACAGCTCATGAATGTTACGTGAGAACAGGCCGAGTGTCAGATTAGGTACTTATACTAATACTAATCATTTCATTTATAAACCTGCGGGTGGGGAACGCATTAAAAAAAAATTTTGTACATTTTCTTTTTAAAATAAAGAGCAAAAGCAAAACCATTACAATGAGCATACTCTGAAAAATAATTTTACCACTTTCAATTTATGTCGATTTGATTGGCATATATCAGAGAAAGCATTGTTTAAAAATAATAAAATTTTGTATAGCACTTGCTGTTTGCTATTTACAGACCTTATCACTCAACATGGAGAACGTACTATTTTTAACTATGTTATTCTCTTTAAATTGTACCTCATGTATCGTTATTTGTTTTTTTAATGGAACGATTCGTAAATTGTGTTATAGATGTGAATATTAGAATGGTAAATTGATTATAAAATTTACTATTATCTTAATACACATTTCTCTGAAAAGAATTGTTACAAAAAGTAGTTCTCTTGCCTCCGTGACGTCATCATACGTTAACTTCCGGCGAGCACGACCTTGATATAAACATGGCATTTAGTAGAGTTCTTTCTCGCGTTTCGCCACAAATGACAAACGCTATAATGCGTAGGTCATTTAATTACGGACCACCACTTGTCAGGATATCTTTAAAAGTATGACTATTTTATATGCTGATTTAACATTTCAAGCCTATTTCTGTGTTATCATTAAACGCAGTAGATTCGTTCTCTGGAAACATCGTAACCATAATAGGGTTTCTTAAGTGGCTAGCCGTACGGGCCCGTACGGCTAGCCAAAAGTTCTGGTCGTACGTGAGTCACGGCGTACGACTAGCCAGGACGCACTGTATTGTCTAGACGGTACTTTTCAAAATTATATGGAAGTCGAAATGCATATGTTATTTTGTGTCTTTAAACAAGGATTTTAAACATATCTCAGCATTTGTCCTCGGGTGTTGACTTTAATAAAGATGCTCCGCCATTTTGTAAAAAAAAAAAAAATGAATACGAACAAGCGTTGTATAATCTTTCTTGATAAAAAGTGTCAAAATTGCATGTTATAACGTCGTTGATTTTCATGCTTATCCCAGCAGGCACATCAACGTTGTTTCAACGTTGAATTATGGTCAGATTTCAACGTTGAAATAAGGTTGGATTTATATTCGGATTTGAAAGTTGAAACAACGTTGAAATTTCAACGTTGATACAACGTTGCAGCTTCAACGTTGGCACAACGTTGAAGTTTCAATGTCATTTCAACGTTGAAAACCCACCATACATAAGTTTTGGATATAAAGCAAAGTAACCAAGTTTAACAAAATATCAAGACAATATTAAATACTTCAGATATTTTATTTCAAAAATACAGTTCAAGTGCAGCTTAAATTCACTTTAATAGTTTTAAATCTAAATCATTCAATTAGGTCGCGAAAATGTGTCAAATCAACTCAATCATGTGTTTTCATCTCTTATTTATTTCATAAAGTAAATTAAAGTAGAATCTTAAGAATAAATAATAATATCTTAGAAAATAATCAGTTAACTAAAGTAAAACATTACGGTAATACCTTCGAAATCCAAATAAATTGCCAATCGTGTTGTTTTCAAATTTTCCAAACAGCGCCACCATTTGCACGAACGATAATCACAAACAAAATCATAGACCGCAACAATTACTTCCCCTGACCAGCGTTATTTTATGAACGGGGTTTTGACAAATATCAATTTATTAATTAATATTATTAATAAAGAACTAAAAAATAAAACAACAAACAACAAAACATATGAACTAATATTTAAAGCGTTAATAGAAAGTGAAAAATTATTTTCAACTTTATTTGTTAAAGCGCTAATTTTGAATATACGGAAAAAGATTGTAACGCAAATTTTCCTGAAAAAAATCACTTACAGACTAATTCAATAAAGGAATAATAACACAAAATTAGTGGTATAAAAGTTTATATAATGATTAAACTAAAACAGACTAATTCAATAAAGGAATAATAACACAAAATTAGTGGTATAAAAGTTTATATAATGATTAAACTAAATGTAAAACTTCGACCATATACAACGTTGAATCAATATACACTGGCAATATATTCGTATGGTCGTCCATAGTTGAATATTGGTTGAACAACGTCACGACCATATTTCAACGTTGTTTCAACGTTGAAACAACGTCGTGTGCCTGCTGGGAGGGTTTGTTGTTTTTTTTGTATGAAAAATGAATTATTAAATCATTTTTGTTAATTAAGCACATTCATGGATCGGATAAATAATCATAACGGCAAAAGAAGCTTTTTCATAAAGACATAATCGGATAGGAATAAATTAGGGCAGGGCTCGACATTAACGTTTGTCCGACTGCCCGGGACAACCAAAAGTTTGGTCAGGGCAAGTGAATTTCAAAAGAACTTGTCCGACAGGGCAAGTGAAAAAAATCATAAGTAAACATATTAAATTCCAATATTATGACCAATAATCCTTGCAAATTACAATTTCAATCTTAATTAGACTTAATTAGAACGAATCACATTTGTAGAGACGATAAATAACGAACCTCACAGCAGGGGCAATTGTACATGTACACAGACTATCCGGTTGTCTGATGAATATGTCAAAACTTGATTAGCATTATTAATTATGTCAACAGACTCAACACCTCTTCTTATTAAAGGTGTTCAAACCCTGTTGAAGTTCAAATCACAACCTTGAACTTATAGTTTAATTTAGCCGTCTAAACATTTGACGATTTCTGGCTGTTTATTTTTGCCGTTAAAATCTAAAATTTATCGTATATTCGTTTCTCCTGTAGATAATTGTGAAAATAATAACAGTTCATCTACAAATGTGTTACAGAGTCATATCCACAAGGAAATAAGATGTAAATTAAGAAAGTAAAAAGAATACAAAATCGGTAAATGAAATTGTCACTCAGATGAAAAACTAGGTCACAGGAGCTAAAAATAGAAAAATCTTGTTAACACTCTAGTGGCTACTGTTTTGATCCAAATATCCTGTAAATTGGTCTGAAAGTTTGTTTTGATGATTTCTAAGTCAAGTTCGAACATGGGTCATCTTGGATGAAAAACTAGGTCACACCGCCCAAATATTGAAAAACCTTGTTGTCACATTTTTGCCTCAATTATTATCAAACTTGGTCAGGATGCTTGTCTAGGTTTTTCTCGGATGAGTTCGAAATCGCATGTGAAACTAGGTCACTGGAGCTAAAAATAGAAAAATCTTGTTAACATTCTAGTTGCTACTGTTTTGATCCAAGTATCCTGGAAATTGGTCTGAAAGTTTGTTTTGATGATTTCTAGGTTAAGTTTGAATATGGGTCACCTGGGTAAAAAACTAGGTCACACTGCTCAAATATGGATAATCCTTGTTAACACTGTAGTGGTCACATTTTTGACTCACCTGTCATGAGACTTGGTCAGAATGCTTGTCTAGATAATTGTTTGGATGAGTTTGATGGGTCAGGTGAGCGATCTAGGGCCATCATGGCCCTCTTGTTATATATCAAATGCACAAAACTTTTTTTTGTCACAATAACCATTTTTTTCTCTTCAAAATACATGTAACTTAATTACTGAAAACATTTTAAAATCTTGTTTAGCCCCTTTTAACCTTCCTTCTATTTCAAACCAATTTTAGTGAAAAAATGAGTATGATTTTGTCACAAAATGTCTTAATTTCTTAAAATTATAAGCCTGTACGGCCTTATAATGAAACCCATGCATGATAAGAGAATAAATAAACCCCATTTTCAAAGATTGCCAACCCTTTTTCTCAAACCTTACTTATAAATGTAGGGTTGTTTTCAACACTTTACCGGTTTTGGTCAGGGCAAGCAAGCTTTGGGTCAGGGCAAGTAATTTTCAAAAGTACTTGCCCGACAGGACAACCAAATAAAAAAGTTAATGTCAAGGCCTGTAGGGCTGTCATTGATGGACATTTTGTTTTGAAATATCGAGAGACAAATATCAACGATATATCGAATTTAACAGTACTTTTAATGAAAAACATTTTAATATGTGTTTTAAATTAGGATCATGGTGTTATGCATGCTTGTTTTAAACATAACAAATACTAAAAACCAACAGAAAGTTTGCTTTTTCTGTTATTTTTGTCACTGACATTTGAAAACAGAGTTTAAAGTTCAAGTATGCCAAGAAAACTGGAAAAAAGTGACTAAAATTCTCTTATTAGGCAAAATAGACAGGTATATTCACAAACAGAAATGAATAAATTTTAGCTTGTATCGATATTTGAAAATCTGTATCGATATTGTATCAGATGATCAATATCGATGATATATCGATATCGCGATAATCAATGACAGCTCTAGAATAAATAAATAAAAAGAACATTGAGAAAAAACGGAAAAAAAACGGTGAAAAGCAAAAACAATTGTATATCTTTTAAATACAGTAGATAAATGTCGAACATAAAAGCACAATCAATTAATTAGCCTTTATTAAAGCCTATCCAGGGAATTTTAGAAGGCGTTTCACAGAACATGCAAACTTTTCTTAACGATGAACAAACTTCTATACTGTCGGTAATTGACGCAATTATCAGAACCGAACAACAATTGTTTCTGTGTTGTTTTGGTATTTTCTGATCGCAGATCAGTAAATACATAGCTAACATCCACGGTCTAACACAAAATTTCCTAACAGACCTAACAACGCAAAGTAGTTCTCACTCAAAACTGCTTAAAAAACAGCTATTTAAAAGAAAGAACAATTTTTGCTACACGTGTCCAGCAAATTACTACACATTCAAACTTTAAAAGTAGTGTTGGCTTATAGAATTGCCAATAAATGCACACTCACAAATTACGCGGATGAATATGATTTTTATCAATGAAAATACTATTTTTAGCAATGTTGATTACCGAATACTACACAAATAAATCTGACTGCCGAGTAGTTGAATATTTAGTTTCTACATGGTGGACTGTTTGGGCGAGAAGATTTTTGCTAAATTATTTACTTCAATTTTAAACAACAGGTTTACCCTGAACAAAATACCTCGAAATTACCCTAACCCGAAATGCAATGGAAATTCTAAATTTAGAATGACTTGACTTTATTCAGCCTGTGCTGCTTTAAAAACCCGAAATGCAATGGGAATTCTAAATTTAGAATGACTTGATTTTATTCAGCCTTTGTTAGCTCACCTGTCACAAAGTGACAGGGTGAGCTTTTGTGATCGCTTTTCGTCCGGCGTCCGTCCATCCGTCCGGCGTCCGTCCGTCAACTTTTGCTTTAAATGACATCTCCTCATAAACCACTGAGCCAATTTC